TTATGGTATTGATGAAGGCTATTTTAAAATTCAAAACTTAAAGGGTCAGGTTACACAAATAAAATTGGAAAATGTATTGTATGTACCAGGTTTAGATAGTAATTTACTTTCTGTTCAATCTGTTACCAATAAAGGTTGCATTGTTACATTTGATAGTAATAAGTGTTACATAAAGCGTAACAATATACTCGTAGCCGACGGCAACGCTCAGCAAGGTTTATATAAATTGATCGTAAACCCAACTGATGAGAAAGCATACTTAGCTAATAATGTTTCATGTTCAAATACGAACTGTATACTAAAAATGGCATCAAAGATTAGGCCACAGAAATATAGATGCCATAAAAACACTTGAGAAAAATGATTTGGCAGACGGCATTAAACTTGGCAAATGCACTCATAGTGTGGAATGTTCTACTTGTGTAAAAGCGAAACTAACTGAAACACCTTATCCCAAAACTAGTTTTAGATCTAAAATCCACTGGATTTAGTGCACACAAATGTGTGTGGGCCAATTGAAGTCAACAGCTTAGGAGGGAAAAGATATTTCGTAACTTTCATTGATGACTATTCGCGTTATACTCAAATTTATTTTTATTACTTCAAAAGATGAAGTATTCGAGAAACTTAAACAGTATGTTGCAATCGACAACAAATAAATTTAGAAAGAAAATAAAGGTTCTCAGATCCGACAACGGTACAGAATACTGTAACGAAAGTACTGAAAATTATTTAAAGAAACTCGGCATTTTTCAAACTTCATTCCTTATTATTTCATCAAACTAACGGTTCCTTATTATTTCATCAAACTTGATTATTCCGGCACAGAACGGCGTCTCGCAGAAAGGAAAAATCGCTCTTTAATAGAAATGACTAAAGCTATGCTAATAAACTCTAAATTACCGAAAGAATTCTGGGCTGAAGCAGCAGCTACTGCTGCATATCTTCAAAATAGGTTACCAACTAAAGCCACAGATAGAACACCATATGAATTGTGGAATGGTAGAAAACCAAACTTAAGTCACTTACAAGTATTTGGCTGTAAAGCATTTTATTACGTGAACAAACAAAAAAGGCGTAAATTCGACAACAGAGCCGAAGAAGGAATATTCATAGGATACGTTTTACGAAGTAAGGGATACAGGATTTATGTAGGTGGAAGAAAAATAATAGTAAGTAGAACTGTTAAATTTTCAGAAAACGCGTCTTCACCTGACAAACTTGCAGAAAATAATGCTGAAGATTTAGAATTATTTCACTTCAATAACTCGCAAGATGATGAAGAAAATAATGAAGAAACATCTCTTGGCGATGATTTTACAGAAGATTCAAAAAGTTCCGAAGAGTTAATTAAATGTGAAGAAAATGTAGAAAGAAGGGTTTCTAGCAGATCAACCAAAGGGGTCCTACCGGAAAGATTCTCTTATAAAGCAGAAGACGAAGAATCAATCTTACTTAAAATTAAAGATCCAGAAAGCTTTGAAGAAATTCTAAACTTACCAAACGTGAACAAGAAGCTTGGATCAAGGCTATGCAAGAAGAAATACATTCTCTAAAAGAAAATGAAACCTATAAACTTACAGAATTATCACCAGGAAAACATGCAGTAGGCAGCAAATGGGTGTTTAAGACAAAATATGATGAAACTGGTAAAAATATAAAATACAAAGCACACTTAGTAGCCAAAGGATTTACTCAAAAATACGGCAGTGATTATGATGAAACTTTCTCACCAGTAGTGAAACACACTACGATAAGAGTTTTCTTAGCATGGGCAGCGTATAATAATGCCAAGGTACATCAACTAGATGTTAAAACAGCTTTTTTGTACGGCAACTTAAATGAAGAAATATATATGGAACAACCAGAAGGATTCGTGGTTCCGGAAGAAAGACATAAAGTTTGTAAATTACAGAAGTCGATTTATGGTCTCAAACAAGCAGCTAGGTGCTGGAATGCAGAAATTGAAAATACGCTGAAGAATCTGAGGTTCAATCAAAGCAAAGCAGATCCGTGTCTTTTCACAAAAGTGGTTCGTGATAAAAGAATTAACTTAATAGTGTATGTTGATGACATCCTAATAAGTTCTACAGAAGAAGGACTAATTCTTCAAACAATTAATGATTTAAAGAAACGTTACGAAATAACGCATCTTGGTGAAGCTAAATATTTCTTAGGCATGGAAATAAATCGCAAGGAAGATGGAAGTTATCTCTTATCACAGAAAAATAAAATAAATCAACTTGTCAAGCAATTTCAACTTGAAGAAGCGAAACACGCTAGCACACCAATGGAAACGAACTATTATAACCTAAACAAGGAAGAAAATCTCCTAACTTCAAATGATAAATTTCGCAAAACTATTGGAAGTCTTTTGTATATATCGTCTATCACAAGACCAGATATCACAGCTTCAACTCACATACTCAGCAGAAAGTGTAATAATCCACGTCAAAAGGACTGGAATGCTGTTAAAAGAATCATTAGATACTTAAACATGACAAAGAACCTATCCTTACAAATTTTGTCTAGTGAAGAACCTAATATTACAGTTTATTCAGATGCTGATTGGGGACAAGATATTGAAGATAGAAAATCTACATCAGGAAGTGTTATTTTATTAGGAAGGAACTGTATTTCATGGTTTTCAAGAAAACAAACTTGGTTTCTTTATCCTCAGCAGAAGCTGAATATGTTGCACTATCGCAAGCTACGCAAGAACTATTATGGCTATTAAAATTAACAGAAGATTTCAATCTACCCCAAACTCTACCGATAAAGGTATTTGAAGATAATCAGTCTACTATAAGACTTGTAGAATCTGAAAAATTCAGTTCACGCACTAAACATATTGATACAAAAGTTCATCATATACACGACTTGAATAACAAAGGAATAGTAAAACTTGCTTATCTTTCAACAGAGCAAATGGTTGCTGATATTATGACTAAACCAATTCCTAAAGCTAAATTTCAGTTTTGCAGGAATGAATTACAATTGGTATGAGTTTCATTAGCAAAACAGGGGCAATGTTAGTATAAATTTAGGTATTTTGCATAATGAAACTCGAAAGGCATACGAAACGAACGTGCGCCAAGGTATATATTGGCGAGAGAAAGTAAAGCTCGTGTGCAATGCAGTATATTTGATTTTCACCCTAGCTACTTGTACCTGGCCAAAGGTCTAATCCAGTAGTATTTTCTTCTCTTTCAGGTACGATGGCAAAGTATATTCCTGTTTATTTTTCTTATTGCATAATATAGGTAAGCCTGATGATATTTAGTACTGATGATGATTCTCTGTAAGTTATTCTTTTGAATACTTCAATTTTAATGTCTGTGAAGATTATTACTTTATTGTTATGCTTAAGTTAAGCAGAATTATCCTATTTTATTAAAATAAAGATTTCGTAGTTAATCTTTTGACTTATGATTCTTTAATTCTGTGCTTGAGGAAACGTACTCATTACGCCTTCAGTGCTAATGCACAACCAACAAATATTTAACAATTAGTATACAAAGAAGAAGCTAAATTTACACCAGAATAAAGATACAGTCAAAAGTCGTTAATCCGGACTCGTCGGGACTTCGGCGATTCCGGATTATCGATTTTTCCGGATTATAGATCATCAGTTTAAATCTCGTAAGATGGCATGCAGAAATTCTAAAATTAAAAATATGAAACCGTAATTTATGAAATAAAGAACAATTATGATCTAAAGGGTATCAAAATTTGCAAAAAGAAAAAGCTTAATATTTATTTGTTTACTTTATTAAACATTTCTTTCAATGTTGTAAGTTTTAAGTTTTGCTTCGTTTCATGTGATAATACTTTCTCTTTAATTCTATTAAACAGACATAATTTCTTGTTCAGTTACAAAGTTCCGCCGTTCAAGTCCTATAATTGCTGTGTCAAGAACACCGACTAATTTGTCAATCGAAATTTTTTTGTTTTCAATAAACCTCTGTCACTTTTTCTTCGCTATCGGAAGCAAATTATAATGACGAGGAACTTGTTTTAAATCATATCAAAGACGAAGCATATCGAGATGAAATACTACATTTGGTAAGGAATTATAAGCCAAATAAAATAAAAACATCTGCACTGAAGATAAGGATAGTGCTGACAAATCAACTTCCAATTCATTACGCGCCCGCCGCCGAGCAGCGTGAAATTGATAAACAGATTTCGGATTTCAAAACATACTTTCGCTTTAGATCCTTTACATATTAACAAATATATATCGGAAATTCTATTTGATATAATCGAAAGTTTAAGCTTACTTTTATAAAATTGCTCTTACAGTCCGCAAAAAATAATAAGCCGGATGCAATTTGAAAATTAAGGAACAACGCAATCATCAACATTAACTGAAATAGATAATATTTAGCTTATATACGTCCATTATACATAAAATGCACGCAGGCGAAAACATATTCTGCACTTGCGCACATTCATATGCGCAGTCGTAAAAGGGTCTTACGCGCACGCGTAAACACCTGTGCGCATGTGTCAACGCGGTGCATGCGCAGAAAGTTTTTAGTTTTGATGTCCGGATTATAGATCATTCCGAATTATGGGTGTCCGAATTAACGACTTTTGACTGTATTACTTATATAATTGAACAACTAAATAAAATTTTTAAAATACTAATTTTCATAACCTGAATTTATATAAAGATTAAAGGCATTTGTTATTTGCTGTAATGAAATAAAAGAAATGAGATATGGAAAAAACTTGGCACTATAAATAAAATTAAGTTTCAGTATCACTTAATTTTGTTATTATTGACTATGAAAAACACTTATGCAGATTTCACAAAGCATTTAGGAACAAAATTATATTTGAAGCATTTTTATTAAACTTTGACATATGCATGTAAGAATTCTAAAGCGAGGGAGGGGAAATATGGTTTAGCATCATAATTCAGGTATTTCCTCAAATAAGGCTGAATTAGCTATTTAATTTAATTTTGGTATAAAATAAAATACTGTGATTACCTTGATGTGAGGTTTCTTGAAAATATTGGTATCAATTGGATAATCTCTTTTCTCTATTTGATAAATTCTTCCAGATTTTAGCTTTATTAAAGTTATAGTAAAAAGATGAGAATGAATACACAAAGAGACAGATTTTCCTTCTTCTAAAACATTAAAAAAAATAAATAAAAGACTTTAAAAGATATATCACTAACAAATCATAGATAAATTCACAAGTATTTTATTTAACGAAACTGAAAACAATAAGCCATTTTTTTTTTCTGAAGAATTCATAAATACCTTAAGATTTGTTGAATATTTTAATGTATCAAAACTTTGAACTTTTTTAATTCCTTATTTAATCTACAATCGGCCAATCGTAATTAAACTAACAAAATTATATATTTTTTAATCTTGATATTATGTGTTACTATTTTGTAATAATAATTTCTTATAATACTTATTTTTAGCAATTTTATTTTTATTTTCATCAATGGTTTGATGGTATGAAAGTCAATTTTATCGACTTTCTCATTTTTCATAACCAAAACAAAAGAATTTCCCTGACCAAACATGATGAAATTAAGCATGAGTAACAATACTGGTACTTATTTTGCATTACTTATTTAGCATTTATTGCAAAATACACACCAATAAATAAAAATATTTCATTCCTCTTACTTATTATTCTGAAGCAACTTAAAAATACATACAGATCCCAATCACTGAATTCCCAGATCCGGATTCATTGGGAATTCAGCGATTTTGGATTTTTCTAGATATTAGATCATCAGTTTAAATCTATTAAAATGACATGTAGAAATTATAAAATTAAAAATATGAAACAGCGGTTAATGAAATAATGCAGCATTTATGACCTTAAGGGAATCAAAATTTACAAAAAAGATAGTATTTATTCATTTGCTCTATTAAATATTTATCCCAATGCAAGTTGTTTGTTTCGTTTTTTCGGCTAATACTCTCCCTTTAACTCTGCAGATAGACATAGTTCCTTGTTCAGTAAGTTCCATTGCTCAAGCCTGTAATTGCCATGTCAAGAATTCCCACTAAACTGTCAATTGATATTTTTTTATTCTCAACAACTTCTTTATCACTTTCTTCACTGTTGGTAACAATATTTTCTGAATTTAAAACCATATTACAAATTTCGCCATCCGTTACTTGATTAATGATTTGAGCATTGCCATCACAAACAAACATCTTCAGTGGAATCTTCATTTATTACCACTTCTCCAAAAATTACTCGCTTTTTATTCACGATACCTGAAAACTTTAATTCGCAGGTACAGTAGAAGACCAGAAATCCACAATGCTGGGAACAGAGGTTGCAAGGACTTTCGGATTTCAGGGCAGAAAAGATAAATCAATATTTAGACTAAAAATGCATAATGACATTAAGGTCATAAACCATTACACATTAAGGTCACAATAAAGACATATGAAAATAAGAGACATTAATAAAGTATAATTTTTTTTTTTTTTTTTTTTTTTACATGTTTAAAACATACTTCTGACAAAGGTTTGTTTTAAAACGTTAAGGGGCTTCACAGTTCTTTTTTTTTTTTTTTTTAAATTATATTAAGTCATAATTGCTTCCTCTGTGACACAGCTCTGTTGTTTTAAATAATTAGTTTAGTGTTGGAATCATTTTCTTCCTGTGCTGAGTTCAAAACAGAGCCAATAACTTCACCAACAGTCATCTGATATGTTCGCTCATTCTGGATACATTATCCACTGAATGATATTTTTTTCTTGCAAAGGCTCCTCATTTGAAAATGAAAATCGTCCTTTCAACTCTAGGTCTCAACTACAAATGAGTTTTTACCTATAGATCAGGTGAGGCCGAAGGCCACTTGTTTTTAGTTAAATAAGTCAAAGGTGCGTTTAGCACCCCGCTCAAAGGCGAGAGAGTCACAGTTGTGAAGGCAAATGCCTTGAAGTCAAGCAAGACGTTTCTTCTCTTCTGTATAGGCTCCTCCTCTCTGAGTGCCGAAAGTTGATTGGTCGAGGCCAGTTACATGAGTGGTCAATGAAGGAATTTTTTGTGTTTTTTGAAAAATAAGATAAAGTTCGTTTTTCCATCATTTCTGCGAAAGTATCATAGAAGTTCATATTTATACTTCTGCGGTTTTAACAGGAACATAGCTGCTTTGAAGCCTGCTGCAAGTTTTTCTGCTGTGAATTTTGCTTTCCTAATTTTTTCGATGTGGTCGATGATATTACTGAGTAGTTCTTGAATCTTTTCATCTTTTAACTAAGACATGGCTTCTGACATTTCTTCCGGGATTTTTCTGGGTTGAATCTGCGACTTATCGCTGGCAGGTGGTCTTTGTGATTTTTGATTTTCATTTCTTTTTTTCTGATGTAAGTGTAGGGAAGTCTTCTTTTTTCCAAGTAAATGCAGGAGGTTTATTGGGTGTTCTTTTTTTCTCGAATTTTTTTACGATAAACTTCGCACCCTGTGTAACTACAGACGTGATCCTTTTTACAAAAGATACAGGTTGGTTTCTCTTCTTTTTTTCATGGGACAGGAGTTGCTTCGATGTTGTTCACCGCATTTGCAGCACTTGACTTGGTAAGTGCACAAATGCTGGGAGTGTCCCCACTCCTGACATCTGAAACACTGTATTGATCTCTTTTTCGGATTGTGTTTCTCAATAAGTATGTTCAGACTAAACATATTGTTTAGTGAATGAATTGCATATCCATTTTTGTTCTTGCTCCGTTTCAACAGCCAGATCGGTAGTTTTTCAAAATTATATTTTGCATTTCTGCTGAATTGCTTCACCTTTTTAATAGGAAATTTCCTACGTTCAAGATTTTCAAAAATAGCTTCTTCCTTAATATGAGCTGAGAGATTCTTTAATATGACTCTGAGTGGTTTTTCTCTGTTCATTTGGAATGTATGAAAAGGGATTCCTCTTAGTTGAAGTAGTTTCATGGCATTCTTATAATCATCTACTGTTTTTACATTCACGAAAATTGATTCAGCTTTCATATTTGCTTCTATTTCATCCTTGCAGATTTTTCTGAGTTCCTTTTCTATCGTTATCCATTAAATTTTTGCCTGCTGGAATACTATGGGTGATGTTATTTCTTCAATTTTTGCCTCTTCACCTTCGACATTAATTTCATGATCCAAATTTTCAAATCTGTTTTTCTGTGTTATATCCATTGGTTCTGGGCTTTTGGTGGGTTTCGCCACTTTCTTTGGCGATTTCCATTCTCCTTCCTTTTCATTTATTTTCTGTTTTGCAGCTTTAGCCTCTGCTTTCCATCTTGGTTTTGATTCCTTTATGTATTTCAGAAGTTCTCTGTTAGGGTCTTCTTTTATCATCGTAGTCACAGTCTTCTTTTCTAAATTTCTGTGATTTCGATGATCTAAAAGATTTGTCCAAATCCGTATCCGTGTTGTCATCTTCCGTAGCCTACGAAGGTGTGCCTTTTAGCCTCTTTAATGGAATGTTTCATGAACCATTTGGTCATAAGTTGTTTGGTGAACCAGGAATTTTTATCATTCCTGTAAATCACAGGTAAGGATTTTACTCCTTTCAGAGCTCTAGGATCGGTGCTCTTAACCATTATCATTGGTTTACATTTGTGAGTTCTAGCTGCATTAACTCTATTACTCACACTTCTAAAAGCATAACAATTTTTCTGCTTGCTTCATTCTTTTTAGCACATGTGCAGCTTTTTTTTATTGTTATTTTATTTTATTTTCCACTGTCTGAAGATTAGCTAAGTTATCAAAAATATGAGGTGCATATTGTACCCATAATGATGTCAATCAGATTATGTGTTTTAAGAATTAGCTTTTAAATAATAAAATAATGTTGAATCTACGGATAAGTCTGTCTGCAAGTGTATTCCTTCCATTTACTCAGTAAAGACTCTCCAAGTTATTACAATGCAATGTGTGTATATGCATGCATGCATACATACATACCTGCATTCATACATACGTAGGAAATATACATCTAAACTATTCAAAAAAAATTAGGTAAAGTTTTAAAGAATAAATATCAGTCAGTTACAAAATTATTTATTCTGCTGAAGAAATTTAAAACTGTACATCATTGATAATTACTAATTACATTTGCAATTACTAATTTTACTTCTTTGATGTTTCAAAATAAATCTTAGAAGATAAAAATGATAATAAATTTTAAAAAATTAAATATTTTCTGCTAATATTATAATAACCTTTTATTTGCATTTTTAAGATGTTTATGTTTACTATTTTTTTTTATCAACTACTAACATTCTGAATTCTGAAATTGATTTTTTTCCTACATTTTGAAAAACTCTTTTATTTTCTCCAGCTTTCTCTGAATAGTTTTTATTTAATTTTTCAGGATTTTCCAGGTAAGAAGGAATGCTAAAAAAAGTTGTGTTAAGGTATTCATGAGCCATGGCAAAGTCACATATAAAAATCAGTCAGCTTACATTTATTTCTCATATTACCTCATAATAAAGTCTGATCAGGTTAGATTGAAGCAAAGCACATAAGGATTATCTGCCTAAAGGGAGAGATACCTTCAACAGGTCTCAATTCATATTACACATGGGGAAATCCCAAAAATTGCCATGCAGCCAGCCTGTTCACCAGGATTAGTTAAAGCAGCATAAAGCAAATCTTAAAAATAAATTCTTTAGCAACAAGCTGGTAGTGAAAGTAAGCTAGTTAGTTCTATTTAGTAACTATAGTAGTGAAATAAAACTACAGTATAAATATAAAATTATGAATTAACTAACTAAAAATTAAAGCACAGAATTTTAAATACACTTACAGATATTATTTTTTAAGAAAATGACAGACTAACAGAATTTCTTAAGTACCTTTCCTGCCCTCCCCCTTCCCTAAAAAAACAGTTTACAGCAATCAGATTCATATTTTGATTTACGATTTGTTGAAATATTTAAGTCCTCATTTAATATATAAATAGCATATGTAGGCAATTCAGGCCTATGTAAGAAAATGCATGTTGTAAAAATATAAAAATAATTAGAAGCATACCTTCACCACAAAAGCGGTCTTTTAAAAATGTAATAGACATCGATGAATCATCAGGATACATCAAACCTGAAATTATTTCCTTACTAAAGGCATCTTTAATATGAAAAATCACATCATCCGAAAGTATAAATGGCTGCATTAAATCTTTTACCTAATTCAAAATAAACCAAAATGTATTATATATTATATTCATATAAATATTGACTATTTATACATAAAAAGGTAAAACTATTAAAACACATTTTAAAATCATTCATCATGAGAGGTTATGCCCATTAAAGAATAAATGAAAATAATGCAGTAAAATTAAAATAATACAGTCATACAGTAACATTGAAAGTTGATGAATCACAACCAATCATGCAGTATCTTTCAACAAGTGTAACAGTATGCTGTATAAAATTTTATTGCAACACAGGGGACAAAACATAAGTTTCATCTTCCTTATTAGTATTAAAAGTAAAAATTCCTGTGAAATTTTTCATAAACCAAAATGGTGTAAAATAAAGCATTTAAAATTAATTTACTGATAAAAAAAAGTTTAGTCTCTATAAGTTTCCAGAAAAACTTTTTATCAAATCACATCAAATAGCAAATAAGAATCTAAAATATTACAAATGGTATGATGAATGTACAGTCAGAATAAATAGAAGTAACACACATAGTGTAGATCCTACACGACGATTCTGAGCTGTGACTCCAAGCTAGTAGGTTGTGCTGTGGTTACGCTTAAGATTTTCAGATACTAACCCAGTCCCGTATGCAGTCGGTGATTATACCTTTGATTGATTAGTTACCTTCGGGTAAGTAAAATGTTCTTTTATAGGACACCACTCGATAGTTCTGATGAAGAGCACTACTGAAGCGAGCGTTCTTTCAAATCCAACAAGACCTAATCCATTCAAGAAAGAGGATTTCATCCTTACGGCTAAAGACAAGAAAAATAAAACGAAAAAGGCGAAAACTATGTCAGATACGGAAAGCGGACAACCAAGTAAGAAGATAGATGTTAAGCCTGGTAAGGAAAAAAGAGACAGTCAAACACCGAATGGAGAAGCTACTCAGGAGCAGACACCAAAAATTTCATCAATGGAAAAAGATGAGGACATCCCAAGATTCGTGACATGTTCTGAAGAAGAAATACGGGGCCAGATCCCGAAATTTGGATTTGATGACATCTACAGTTACTTTTATAAAAGAGCTAAGGGAAATATGGACGTGAAAACTTTCACGAGAAAATTCGGTCCAGAGCAACTAACTGAAAGCAGAACAGATAGCAAGGAACAGGAATGGATTTCTTCTAGGAAAATCGCAAAAGTAACAGAAAATGAAACTCCAATGGAAGTTACGAAAGAAAATCGGTTTGAACAGCTGAGTGAAGTAGAAAATATGGAAGAAGAAGGAGGAGCCGATAAAGAGGAAATTCCACCTCGATAGTTTTCCAGCAGAGCGAAGTGGATTGGCCGAAAATTCACGAAATACTTACAAACCTGCAGTGAAGAAATTCGGCCGATATGAGATGAAACTGCGATGTTAATAAAAGTCAATGATGATTACAAAAAGGCAACTCTAATTTATAGAAAAGAGTATACATTTCATACTTTTCAGTTGCTCAGCGGAAAACCTATTAAGGTTGTTCTTAAGGGCCTCTCATCGATGATGAAGGAAGAAATAATACAGGCAGACTTGGAGAAAAGGAAATTCCCGATAAGCAAAGTTAAGCAGTTTACCAGACGTAGAGGGGATGTTATCGAGAAATTTCCGATATTCCTACTGGAGTTGAAGAAAACGAAGGAAGGACATGCTATCCATGGACTTAATAACATACTAAGTGTTAATGTCAAGATTGAAAAGTTTGCTTCCCAAAAACGAGTGATCCAGTGTTACAGATGTCAAGAGTAGGGACATTCGCAGCATCTCTGTTTAAATCCTGAGCAATGCTGCAAGTGTGGACAGCAACATGGGAGTAAGGAAGGCCCATTAAAGCCTGATGAAAAATCCAAATGCATTTTCTGCTCACTGCCGCATGTAAGTTCCTATAGGGGTTGCCCCGTGTACAAGAAACGCTTTGAAGCAAAAAGCAGCAAAAAACCAGCATCTAAATCTACTCCTCGGACTTTCCGAAACTCATTGAAGCCAGAGGAAGACAGCATTAAAAACAGAAGAAACCTCTCTACAGTGATACAGTGATCTACAGAAGGAAACTGGAACCCCACCTAAGATTATAAAGAAGCCTAGACTGGATTCAAGATCCCAAATTAGCAGATTTTTGAAAGCATGTAGAAGATTTGTTCTGCAAGAACCACGGCTGAGAATTTTACTGCCGGTTCAAAGCAGCCAACTGATGAGATTTGCTGAAAGTGAAGATTAATCATCAGCTTAGAAGCAAATGAGGAAATTCCACCAGTTTTTATGATTTTTACCATTTTTTCCAACACACAGGTTCCCCCGTTTCCAGCAGCAGAGCTCGGGGTCAGTACTTGGGTGGGTGACCACCCACGTTTTTTTTTTTTTTTTTTTAATTCATCTTAATTATACATGCTTTTATTTACTGACTTGAAAAACCCGTTTTCCAATAAAATAGTAATAAAATATATAAACGGATATTATTTTTGAGACGTTAAAATCAGACTCAGATATTCTATTTATTATAATAACAATCATAAATACATTTTATATTGATAAAAAAAATGTCCGTTTATTCATGTCAACTTCTATCAATGTGGGCTTATATCAATGCAGGCTTTTACCAGTGTGGGTTTTTATCTATGCACTTTCATCTGTATGGTTATTTGTTGCATGAGCAATTATCACAATGAGGGGCTTTTGTCATGTACGCATTATGGGCTTTTATGTGGTTACGCAACTCTGTAGAGTTCCTGACAGATATAATAATTCCTAGAGGATTTTGATCATCAGTATGAGGCCTTTTAAAAATTGTACACTTAGGATTCAGTATAACATTCTAAGTGGCACAAGGTTTTGTGATCTGCTTAGGTATTTAAAAAGCATTTTGTTAAATTTAGGTAATTAATTATTTTAGTCAATGTTTTCACAAACTTTATTTCATTACAATAATATTTAAATCATTAAAGGCCATAAGAAAACAAAATGATTTAAATGATAAGATAATATGCACCAAATAACAAAAAATCTCATTAGGCTAATCCTGCCCTCAGGAGATAAAGAAACTTTTATACATATCTTTTAGTGTAAAATGCAAGGTGCTCCTCCATACCACAAAAGCCATTCATGAACATACTTCTCATAGTGATCTAATCAAATAGCCAATTTTCAATATTTTGACATTCAGATCCTTGCCAATCTCATCTAGTTCTTGCTCTTTTCAGAGGATCGGTGATTAAAAAAGTATATAATTTATCAAATATTTCAAAATGATTCATTTCATGTTTTTATCATATTTTTTAATATTAATGGTAAATGTTGAAAGCAATACAAACTACAGTGTTAGGAAATTTTTCCAGAAGTTTGCAAAACCAAACAAGATTCTAATTTTAAAGAAAGGAAATATTATCATTTGTCAAAGTGTGATTATAACATGCAAGATAAGTGTTTTTCTTGGAATAGGCAAACAAGGGAAAAAAAAGTTTCACTATTTAGAGATAAATTACAGAGCGACAAAACTAGTTCTCATGAGTCCCATACAACTCACCACAGCTGTTTACTAAGTTTTCTCCCAACAACAGAATGCACTAAAGGGAAAAGCATGCTAGACAAAAGATGGGGAAAATTTTTGTCATATGTTCAGATTATAATTTTAAAAAATTAGGCTGACCCAGCATAGTTTCTTATACGTTATGAACATTTCTTATATGTTAATTAATTGTTTGCCCTCCTAATGTAACAAGCAATAGTTTGTATTGAAAATTTACCAAATTTTTCATATTGTTAAATTTGTTACATAAATATTAACTCTTTACACAATAAAAAGGTATAACTGCATGAACAAATAATTTTTAATTTTCCTATTATATATTGTATAAAACTTATTTCACATACTTTTACACATGCTTAACATATGACATATACATTAAGAGCAGAGTAAATGTATAATGAATATACTTTTAGATTTGGTGCACTTGCGTAAATTTTTTAATCTGTTAAATACCATATGCACTCACTGGCATCTTTTGCCTTGGGTGAGTTTTGGAAAAAGACATATTATGGTTTTCCATTCATATATTATATCCAGAAAACTGCATTATTTAAACATTCTGTATATTAACAAGTTCTCTACATAATTAATAATGTTTTGCCATAAATTTGGGATCACTTAGTGTTTGATTACTTTAAAATTTTTTACAATACTGCATTGATTTAAAGTAACTCAAATGGTCTTCAAAGCCAACTTTAAACGATATTTGATTACGTCTAGAAGTATATCCTTAAAATGAACTAGTTTGAAAACTTTTTTAATAGCTTTCACTTTTCCCATTTGCCCAAGTCGTTTTTTTTTTTTTTTTTTTTCCCCTTTATTTTTTGTTTTCTTAAAGCACCCATGACAAAATCCCTAACATCAGACTGAAAACTCATTTGAATTCAGAAAGCCTACTTTTTTAGATATTACTTGCTATAATCGTTACAAAATAATGTCAAAAACTTGCATATTTTATTTACCACATATGATATTTCCTCCTCCCCAAATTAAACTAATTTCCACACCCCTACCTACCAAATCCCAACCATGCCTTCTTAAGCATGAAGCAGTGATGTAAAGTTTTCCTTTGCTTTTCATTACCCAGTGGGAAAGAAGGCCACCTGCATAGTTTCCGTGTTCTTTCCCAAAATATTATGTAACTTTTCCTTAGAAGTCTGCAAAACATGTTTAAAAAGCAGATACCTCTCGAATATTTTGCCATACTTAATAACCTAATCAGCACTTATTACAAAATGCACGAATTTTTTTTTTTATTCCATAAGTAATTATGATTACAAATTACTATTTTATAATACCTTCACATCATATATAATTCATTTGGCTCTATATTCTGAGCTAAGAGGAAAAGTATTCATAAGTTCTTCCTCCAACATTTCATATATATCTTTGTAAAATATTGAATGGACATTATCACACTTCAAACAAAACGCGAAAATTCCACCGACAAAGTTGCAGTGCTCTTCTGTTTCTTC